GGCGGGGTTTCTCGCGCATGCGTGGCGTCCGGCGGCCCGGCCCGCAGCCCGCGCCCGCCTGCAGCCCGCGCCCACCTTGCTGAAGCCGTCCTTGCTGAGCGTGTCCACGTTCCAGGGCATGCTCTTCTCCTTCTTGCGCATCTCCTCCAGCTTCTGCTCCCAGCTCCGCTCCTCCTTGCGCAGCTGCTGTGCCTCGGCCTGCAGCCGCTCCAGCTCGGCCTGGCCGCCCTCGGCCACCTCCAGCTCCTTCAGCTTCCGCTGGCACTCGGCCACCTTCCGCTTGCACTCGCGGCAGCCGCGGTCCAGCTCCTCCTTCTCCTTCTGGAACTGCTCCATGCGCTCCACCCGGGCCTGCGGGCACGGGGGGGGGGGACCCCAGTCACGACAGGACCGCCACTCGGGACTCCCCTCGGGGCGCTTTTCTGTCCCTTGGCGGCCACCAAGGCCGCGCTGCAGACGGGCACACTCCCTACCACCTCCCGACTGCCGCGAGCGGCCTCTTCTTCGCTAGTTCCCTTAAGTGCTTCCTTTGGCAGCCCCAGGGCCTTTGCACTAGCTGCTCCCAGGCCAGCAAAGGCCCCTCCACACGCCACCTCCTGCCTGCCCCGATCCCCTGGGGTCTCATTTCCACCTGCTTCTTCACTTCTGTGCACCTCCAGCCTGGCCAAGAACCACTGCAGAGGCCACTCAGCGCCCCCCCCCACCTGCCTGCTGTCCGCCCCGCAAGCTGCTGCCCCGGCCCCTCCGCCACCAGCTGCCCAAACCCCAAGCCGGCGGCGGCGGCCCCATCTACGTACCATCTGGTCCCAACCAGCTCTCTCCTCTCCTCACCCCTGCGTGGCCCACCCAGGGCTGCGGAGTGATGGCTGAGGGGTACCCCGGCCTTCTTTTCTTTTTTTGGGGGGGAGGGTCCGGTCATGGGGCCTGAACTCTGGGCCTGGGCGCTGTCCCTCAGCTCTTCAGCTCAAGGCTAGCGCTCTACCACTTGAGCCCCAGCGCCACGTCCTGTTTTCTGGTGGTTTATTGGAGATAAGAGTCTCACAGACATTCCTGCCTGGGCTGGCTTTGGACCATGATCCTCAGATCTCCTCCTCAGTAGCTAGGATTCTGGGACAGCACCCAGAATTCAAGCCCCACTACCAAACAACAACAAAAAAAATTTGACAATTTATTTATTTATTTATTTATTCCCTCCTTCCCAGGCGCCCAGCATTTTTTTTTTTTGGGTCCGGTCGTGGGGCCCAAACTCTGGGCCTGGGCGCTGTCCCTCAGCTCTTCAGCTCAAGGCTAGCGCTCTACCACTTGAGCCACAGCACCACTTCCAGCTTATGTGGTACTGAGGATCAAACCCAGGGCCTCAGGCATGCAAGGCAAGCGCTCTACCACTGAGCCACCTTCCCAGCCCTACCCCAGCTTTCAAACCCCTTTCTGTTCCAATCTGGGCGTGGAAAGCCACTTGAGGGGTCCTTGAAACCTGAACATGGGACTGTAGCCCTCCCTGACACACCCATCTTAGAGGGCCTGCACTGCCATGCAGCTCGGCATGGCTGGCAGAGGTCCCCATGTTTGGCCTCCCTCTTCCTCTCAGCCCTGTCACATAGGGCTCCGTAACCCTGGAGTCTTCTACCCTTATCCACTTACACCCTCATTCTGTACCCACATACCTCTACCCAAGGCAATCAGGTGCGCCAAAAGCCCAGATGAAGCCATCTCCGAGCTTCTAGGAACCTTGTTTTCCTCACCGGTCTACACAGCACCTCAGGTGCAAGCACAGGAGCTGCGCAGGCGCCCTACCTCACAACGGCGTCACGTGACAGCCGCACACCAGGAAGGAGACACGGTGCTGAGCGAGCTCACATCCTGAGCCCGGCCAGCTTAGCTTGCACAGTAAGGCTAAAAAATCACTTAATGCCAAGTTAATTTATAACACTAAGTTGTTTTATAACAAAGTGTTATTTATTTCATTCAGACAGGATCTCCCTAAGTCGCCCAGGCTGCCTGGAAACCCTGGGGTCAAAGTGTACTCTGCCTCCGCCTGCCAAGTAGCTGCAGGGCCGCTCAGAGAGCACCACCCTACCTGCTTCTCCTGTGATTTCATGACTACTGTAAAACACAAAGTATAGGGGAAGGGAAGGTGGCTCAGTGGTAGAGCGCTTGCCTTGCATGCGTGAGGCCCTGGGTTCGATTCCTCAGCACCACATAAATAGAAAAAGCTGGAAGTGGCACTGTGGTTTAAGTGGTAGAGCATTCCCCTTGAGCTGAAGAGCTGAGGGACAGCACCCAGGCCCAGAGTTCAAGCCCACAACTGACGCCTCCCCCCAAAAATAAAGTAGATAGATAGATATACAAGGACTGCTGTTGTAAAAGCAACAAAATCTGAAATCAGCCAGGGGTGGTGACTCACATCTACTGTCCCAGCTACTACTCAGGAGGAAGAGACATGGAGATAGCAGCTAACCTTATCTCAAACATAAGCTGGGCATGGTAGCACACAGCAGAGCCCCCAGCTAATTGGGAGGCAAAGATAGGAAAGTCACAGTCCAAATTCAGCCCAGGCAAAACCCAGACCCTATCTGAAAATGAATGAAAGTAATTAGGGCATGGACGCATGGCTCAAGAGGTCGAAGAGGTCGAAGCTATGAGTTCAATTCCAATTAAAAAAAATCTCCTAGCAGCCACATGCTGGTGGCTCACAATAATCCTAGCTACTCAGGAAGCTGAGATCTGAGGATAGAGGTTCGAAGTCAGCCCAATTAACCACCAGAAAACTGAAGTGGCACAGTGGCTCAAAGTAGTAGAGCACTAGCCTTGATCAAAAAGAGTTCAGGGATAGTAACCAGGCTCCAAGTTCAGGACCCATCACTGACCAACAACAAAAAAAATCTGTTTGAGTCAGTGGCTCATGCCTGTAATCCTAGCTACTCAGGAGGCTGAGATCTGAGGATCACGGTTCGAAGCCAGTCAGGACAGAGAAATCCCTGTGAGACTCTAATCTCCAATTAACCATTCCAAAACTGGAAGTGGAGCTATGGCTCACTGGTAGCGTGCTAGCCTTGAGAAAAAGAGCTCAGGGACAGCGCCCACACCCTGAGTTCAAGCCTCACAATGAAGGTGGGGGAGGGGGGGAATCTCCAAGGAACTACCAATGATCGTAAGGCACAGACTATCTACAGTAGAAGAAAGGAAATATTGCAATGAAACCTTCCAGGCAGGGCTGCACTACTAGAGCTGGGCACTGGCATTACCATCTGCTCACGGGGACAATCTCTCTCTCTCTGGGGACCAATCTGAGGACAGCTCAGCTCCCCCCGGTGCTCAGCTGTTTTCTGCTTTGACCAGGGTGTGTCCCAGCTCTTCGGGCCTTGCTTTGCCCCTCTGTGAAATGGGCTCCTGGAGGTGCTGGAAGAGACTCAACAGTGCACATTGTTCCGTGTCACTCAGTGTCCCCTGGTGATCCCTGAGGTCCTTGTCACTGCTGCTAAACGTACTGTGCTGAGCCCAAGGGAACAGCAATTACCGCCCCCCGCCCCGGAAGTTGGGCAAAGCCCTCACCATGGGCCTATGTCAGTCTGGAACCTTCCTGATGTTCTCTATGGGGGCCTTGGTCGGGCTTTGGGCTGGTTCTAGGACGCTGAGGGAAGCTATCATCCTGCTGGGCTCTTCCTGGTCGGCCACCATTCTCCCCAGTGTCCTCTGAATGACTGCCAGGGACTCCGAAGCCAGCAAACAACAAACCAGGCCACATAGAGCTGGTGGTGGCAGCAGTCTTCCTGGCCCAGGTTTTACCTTCCATAGGGGGGGGATGGGTGTGGGCTGTGGCACACAGGGCAGGGCAGAAGCTGTAGAAGGAAAAGGGTTCTAGACGTGTCATGATCCTGCCTTAGAGATGAGGAAACTGAAGCTCATGGAATCTCAGTGATACACAGCTCGTGGAAAGAGCTAAGAAACCACTGATGAGCCGGGCGCCGGTGGCTCACGTCTGTCATCCTAGCTACTCCGGAGGCTGAGATCTGAAGATCCTGGTTCAAAGCCAGCAGGGGCAGGAAAGTCCATGAGACTCTTATCTCCAATAAACTACTCAGAAAACCAGAAGTCGAGCTGTGGTTCAAGTGGTAGAGCACTAGCCTTGAGCTGAGAGATAGTGTCTAGGCCCAGAGTTCAAGCCCCACGATGGGAATGTAACTTAGTGGTAGAGTGTTTGCCTAGCAGGCATGAAGCCCTGGGTTCAATTCCTCAGTATCACATACACAGAAAAAGCTAGAAGTAGTGCTGTGGTTCAAGTAGTAGAGTGCTAGCCTTGAGCAAAAGAAGTTCAGACAGTGTCCAGGCCCTGAGTTCAAGCACCAGGACAGGCAAAAAAAAAAAAAGAGGATCTCAAGCCTGGCACTGGTGGCGGTAATGCTAGCTACTCAAGAGACTGAAATCTGAGGATTGCAGTTCCAAGCCAGTGTGTCCAGGTAAGTCAGTGGACTTATCTCCAATGAACCAGCCCTGAGAGTGGAGCTGTGGCTCAAAGTGGTAGAGCACTAGCCTTGAGCACAAAAGCTCAGGGACAATGCCCAAGCCCAATGACCGACAGGAAAATAAAATTAAAAGAAAAAGAAAAAAAAAAGATTTTAGAGAAGCCAGGCATGGTGGTGCGTACCTAATTCTCTGGAGGCTGAGACAAGAGAATCTTGAGTTCAAGGCCAGCTTGGTACTTCCTGGAGACCCTGACTCTCACACTGGCTCTGAGAGATTGTGACTCACTTCCCAGCCTGAGACAAGAGGGGGCAGGGCTGGATTTAGAACCCAGACCTCAAAGGAAAGGCTGGTGGTGCTGAGGCCACCCGCGTCCCTATGGGGGCCACAGCACCAGGACTGGAAGCTGTAGCTCCCACCAGGTGAGAGGAGGCCACCCCCCCAGCAAGACTAAATTATTATCACGGTGTAGTAAGATTAACCTCTTTATGTGACACAAATAGACATTCCTAAGAATAGGCTGCTGAGATCTTAAGTATTCCACGAAGAAATGTTACACTCGGCATGACACAGAAGTACTTGAACTTTCTTCCCACACTCCAGGGGTTTGCCCAGGAGATTTTAGCTTCCTGGGGAGGGGAGGGGAGGGGAAGACCAAGGCATACTCAGAAAAGGAGGGGGAGGGGGATGAACAGCTTTCCAAGAAATTCCTAGCAGGGCACTGGTGGCTCAAGCCTATAATCCTAGCTACTCAGGAGGCTGAGACCTGAGGATTGTGGTTCAAAGCCAGCCTGGGCAGGAAGGTCTGTGAGACTCTTATCTCCAACCAACTACCAGAAAACCAGAAGTGGAGGTATGGTAGAGCACTAGCCTTGAGCAAAAAGAACTCAGGGACAGTGCCCAGGCCCTGAGTTAAAGCCCCGGGACTGATCAAAAAAGAAAAGAAATTCCTAACTGGAAACTTTGGAGGTGTATACATCTTCCGTTTGATGATCATGGGCACAAGCACTTGATTAGGAGGAACAGGAAACTAGAGCACTGGGTCTTTGAGCCATCCCACTAGCCCCTTAGAAAGGCTGGACATAAAGGGGCTGGGAAGGTGGCTCAGTAGTAGAGCGCTTGCCTTGCATGCATGAGGCCCTGGGTTCAATTCCTCAGCACCACATAAGCAAAAAGAAAAAAAGCCAGAAGTGGCACTGTGGCTCAAGTGGTAGAGCGCTAGCCTTGAGCTGGGACTGCAGCACCCAGGCCCAGAGTTCAGGCCCCAGGACCGGACCACGCCCCCCCCAAAAAAGAAAGGCTGGACATAAAGAAGGGTAATAGAGGGCTCAGTGGTAGAGCGCTTGCCTTGCATGCACAAGGCCCTGGGTTCTATTCTACAGCACCACCACAAAAGCAGAAAAAGCCGGAAGTGGTGCTGTGGCTCCAATGGTAGAGCGCTAGCCTTGAGCTGAAGAGCTGAGGGACAGCGCCCAGGCCAGAGTTCAGGCCCCTGACCGACCAAAAAAATAAATAAATAGAAAAGGGTAATAAATATCGTCCATCCAGACAAGGGGAATCTGTCCTGTGTACATCGCCTTTTCTTTCTTTTGAAAAAAGATGGAAAGGATAGTGATTTTGGAAGAAAATCCCTGAATTAAGGCTAGGCACTCTGAATGCCCGGGACTAGCACATCAAGTTGGGAATGGGAAGGAAGCAGAGTGGACTTTGGGGGGGTCCCTGGCTTGAATCAGGTGCTGCTGAAGGAAGCCAGTCTTGGGGGTGGGCAGCGATGAGGAACTACAAAACTAGGCAGGAGAAAAGGCGCTGGCTGGGGCGGAAGCTAGGTAGGCGGGGTTTCCTGGAATAATGGGAAATGGGGTCCACAAGAGATGAGGCCAGAAGAGAGGCTGCCAGTCCACACTACCTTAGGATGGAACTGGTAGTTGACTTTGGAGAACAGGCTTTCCCTACCTCATGTCCTAAAAGAGATCTAAAGGGGGTCCTGGGTGTTGGGGGGGAGAGGGTCGGTATCCCAGAGCAGAGAAATCTTGAGATTAGAACAAAGTTCCTGGTTTCGTTCGGACGAGGAATGAGATCTCTACCTGAGAATCCTTGATCAAAACCCCGGGAAAAACATTCTAGTAACTGAGATACGAGACTCTGGGGGGGGGGGGAATCCCCCAAATCAAAAGTGGATATATGAGCAAGATCAGGGATCGTTCTGCGATAAGAATTCTCAAGTTCAGACTGCTGAAGAACGCATTCTGGGTGTTACGGACAAGTTCCCGGGCTTTGGGGGGGGCAGGGTGTCCCCCTCGCTTCAAAGCTCGGCTGGAGAGTCTAGGCCAGAATAAAAAGCGCCCAAGTCCCACGCAGAAAGCAGAGAGGGGACCCCCGAAATGGCGAACGAGGAAGAGTCTCAGGGTCCGGGGCGGAGCGGGGGGAGGGGGGTCCCTGAGGTGAATCTCGGGGCATGCAAATCCAGACTGTGGCACGGAACTCCTCAACGTCAGCAGCGGGGTCCCCCGGGCGGGGTGAGGGGGGTCAGCACCGTGGAGCGGGGCGGGGGGGAGGGGGACGGGCGGCGCGCACGCTCTACCTGATGCCGCCAGCGGAAGAGGCTGGCCGTGTCGATGTTGGGGTGCGTCTCGTCCTCATCGTCAGACACTTCGATGTGGTCCCACACGCTGTAGTCCACCATCTTCCCTCAGCGGCCCAGGCCCGCTCAGGTTCCGGTGTCGGCGGTGGTGGGGGGGGTGGTAGCAGTGCTGGCGGCGCTGGTGGTGGCGGCGGCGGCGGCGGCAGCAGTACTGCTGGAGCCTCAGGCCGCGAAGCCCCGCCCTTCCGCTTCCGGGCGGACTCCGTACGCCCCGCCCATCCCTCAGACGTCACGTCCTTGGTAACGGTGCCGGCGGCCCTAGCGACCCGGCCCGCCTTAAAGGGCGTGACGCACGTGGTCCGGAGCCTCAGGAATTCCCGCCGTAACTCCGCCTCCTTGCGCCGGGGAGGCTCCGTGAAGCACCTCAGGGGGACGTACGGATCGTCGCCCCAACCTCGAGCGCTCTTCATCTTCCGCCGCTACCCGGGGAGGGTGGGAGGGGCCCTGGCCGCGGCCACCGGGTGGGGTGTCAGTGGACGGGACGCAGAGGATTGTCCCCCTAGGCTGACGTCTCCGCGACGTCAGCCCCGGCCTACCGCAGGGGGCGTGGCCTCGGCGGGAGGCCACGCCCCCTTCCCTGGGCTCGGCGGCACCGAGCCCTCGGTGGAGGCGGGGTCCGCGCTCTGACGGAACTGGCCCGGGCCGGCCCTGGGAGGGTCCACCTAGGACCGGACACATCGCCCGGGCGCTAGGAAGACGATGGCCGCTCGGCCTTGGGAAAACTAGTGATTCCCCCGTTCCCCCGCCGCCCAGCCTCGGATCGCAGCCTCCCACCGGCCCCCAGCTCCTGCCGACTCGTGGGCGAGAATCTGTGCTCACTCACCTGCCTTGGAATCACCCAGAAAACCCCCGCCACCCCCCCTTAACAAGTGTCAGGCAAGCATCGGGCTCCCCGCCTGGCCGCGGGGTGTCGCTCATGCCTCGCCGGCGACCGATGCTCCTGGATCCGCTCGTGGTGAGTGGCGGTGGGAAGGGGGTGCCCGGCAGGGTCGGGGGGGGCCTTCCCTCCCCGTCACGTAGCAAGCGGGGTAACTGGGCTTCTAGCCCCTCCCGATTCGTCTGGGGACTCTCACCCCCAAAAAAAAAACCACCGCAGAGGCTTGAAGAACTCTGTTACCACTCCAAGTTTTTTTGGGGGAAACCTCGGCCGCCTCCTCAAATACTGGGAGAACGCGACCTGTGGCAGCTACGGGCTTGGATTATAGCAGATTAACGGGTGCTCCGCAGGGGCAGAGAAGGGGGGGTGCTGGTACCGGGGGGTGGGGCTTCCTCAGCCATCTGAGGGAGGGACGCCTCTTCCTGGGGTTCCCAGGAGTGGATGTTGGGGAGGGGGCTGGTCTAGCGGAAAGGCCTGCAAATGGGAGGGAGGGGCGGGATTCCCCCCACACCGCCACCCAAGCGCCCTCCTGGCTGTCCCCTCCCTCTACCCCCCCCAGCAACCCATTTAAACCCGGGAGTGGGCGGGGATCCCCGCCTCCTCCCCCTCCGTCCCCGCGGCGGCCGACGGGGGGGGGGGCCTGGGCACGCCGCGCGCGCACGGACCTGCACCCCGCGACTCTCACGATTGCACACGCACACACACACACACACACACACACACACGCTGGTGAACAAAGGGTCTGGATCATCTTTATCCACTTCTGGACACCCCCCGGCCCCCGAGGCCGGAGAGAGGGCGGGGACCCCCCTCCCTGCCACCCCAGCCAGGTAAGCTTTGGGTTGCGAATTACGATGGGGAAGGGGGGGGCAGTCAAGTCGATGGAGGGGGGGGAGGTCTTCCTGGCTCCCCCAGAAAAGTCGGCTCCCTCCATCGCTAAGCATTTTGAGGGCTTCTTCCTCCCCACCCCTGCCCCGCTCCTTACACCTCTGGGATTTGGGGGTGTGGGGGTGTGGAAAGGACCCTGGGTAGCTAGGGTTCCCGGCTGGGGATCGCTCCCCGGCTTTTAGAGACTGGTGTTGCCTGCCCTTCGGTGGTGAAATGGGGGTCCCAGGTCCCAGAACTAGGAATCCAATCCCCCCATTTAGCCCTGGGGACTAAGAGCTCCCCCCCCCAGTCGCTGTACAATGTGCCTGTCTCCCAACCCCGCCACCCATCAGCGTGTCCATCCGTCTTGTGTCGTGGGGCAGGGGTAGGGAGGGCTGGGGACGACGACTCTGGCTTCTGGTACACACACACACACACACACACACACACACGCAGCGGCGCCCCACAGCCACTGGGCCTTCCGGGAGCCTCAGTTTCCTGCGCCCCCCCCCCAGGCTGAATGAAGTGGGCAAGGATGACCGAGGGCTCCTTTCTCTCCTTGCTCCGTTTTCCTGCGTGTTTCCCAGGTACCTGGCTTTGTATTCCACGCACTGTGGCTAGATCCTCAAGCTGCAGCAACCAACCTGACCGGCAGGGATACCCAACCCGCAGCATCCCTGCTGGTCGCCAAGACCGGTGGATAAACAAGAACCCTGATGATGTCAGACAGAGGAAAGGAAAAGTTCTGTCGCCAGGCAGACTTGGCGGCGTAAAGGGGAGGGGAGAGCGAATACTGCAGAGCGGATTCAATTGTTTTATTTTATTTATTTATTCATTGGGTCTGGACCTGGGAACATTCTCTTGGCTTTATTTTTTGGCCCGTCCTAGGGCTTGAACTCATGGCCTGGGCGCTGTCCCTGGGCTCCTTTTGCTAAAGGCTATAGCTCTTACTACTTGAACCACAGATGCACTTCTGGCTTTTTTCTGTGATTAATTGGAGATCAGAGTCTCATGGATTTTCCTGCCCAGGCTGGCTTCGAACTGTAACCCTCAGATCTCAGCCTCCTGAGTAGCTAGGACTGGTGCCCGGCTAAGCTTTTTTTCTTTTGTTAACTGAAGGCTAGCACACTACTACTTGAGCCACAACTCCACTTCTGACTTTTGCTGGTTCGTTGGATATGGGAATCTCACAGAAACTTCCCCGGCTGGTTTCGAACAAGATCCTTGCATCTTAGCCTCCTGACTAGCTGGGATTACAGATGTCAACTATCAGCTCCCTGCTTTTCTTTTCTTTCTATTTTCAATCCGTGTTGAATAAACTAAATTGAGAATTAGCTGAGGGCATGTCTCAGCAATAGAGCACCATCAAGCAGGAGTTCAAAGTAGTCCCTTGAAAAGGAAGTAAAAAAGCGAGATTACATTCAGAATAGATTCAGAAAATGAGGGGATCAGAAGCCAATCCAGCAGTGCGTGGTCGAACATAGTCAGCTTCTAAAAATGAGGTTGAGCCTGGGGGCGTGGCTAGCGTGTGGGCGTGGCTTACGCTAAACAGGGGCGTGGCTAATGGTGATAGGCGTGGTTTGGCAGGTAGGGGCGTGGCTCAAGTGGTAGACTGCATGCCCAGCTCCAAGCACTGAGTGCAAACCCCAGTACCAGCCAACACAAGAACACTAAATGTGGGCTGGGAAGGTGGCTCAGTGGTAGAACGTTTGCCTTGCATGCCTGAGGCCCTGGGTTCGATTCCTCAGCACCACATAAGCAAAAAAAAAGCCGGAAGTGGTGCTGTGGCTCAAGTGGTAGAGCACCAGCCTTGAGCTGAAGTGCTGAGGGACAGCACCCAGGCCCAGAGTTCAGGCCCCATGACCGGACCCCCCCAAAAAAAAACACTAAATGTGAGGGAAGTTGACGCCAGACCGGTAGTCCTGATAGATAGGGACTTAGCCCCAACATTCATTCATTCATTCAAGAAGTATTGACCCTGTGCTAAGTACCGTGTGCTAAGAGCAGAGTAATAGCAGCAAAGAACATCAACTCCCCACAACATCCAAAGTTTAGTGGAGGAAATAAAGTAAGAATAAGCAAAAAAAAAAAGTTTTTTTGTTTTTGTTTTTCCCTGTGTATGTGCTGTTGCTAGTGCTAGGCTTTTTTTACTCTACAGCTTGAGCCATACCTCCACTTGCAGCTTTAGCCAGTTAATTGGAGATGAGACTCTCACAGATTTTCTTCCTCAGGCTGGCTTTGAACCAGGATCTTCAGCCCTCAGCTTCCCGAATAGCTAGGATTACAGGTGGGAACCACCAGCACAGGCTATAAGCAAACCAATCAATATCTAACAAGTAGTTATAATGAAGGGGAGAGTATGCTTACCAAGTTACAAGGCCTTGGATTTGATTCCTGCCACCCCAAAACAAAACAAGGGGACCAAGGCAATAATAATAATAAAAGACTGGGGCCATCACAGGAAAAAAGAAGTAAAAAAAAAAAAGGGCTGGGAATGTGGCCTAGTGCTAGAGTGCTTGCCTAGCATGTGCAATTCCTCAGCACCACATAAGCAAAAAGAAAAACAGCTGGAAGTGGCGCTGTGGCTCAAGTGTTAGAGTGCTAGCCTTGAGCTGAAGAGCTGAGGGGTAGTGCCCAGGTCCAGAGTTCAGGCCCCACGACCGGACCCAAAAAACAAAACAAAACAAGAAAAAGCTGGAAGTGGCGCTGTGGCTCAAGTGGTGGAGTGCTAGCCTTGAGCAAAAGAAGCTCAGGGACAGTGTCCAAGCTCTGAGTTCAAGCTCCAGGACTGGGGGGAAAAAGTGTACTACTTGGATGTACAAAAAGAGATGCTTAAAGTTCTCTTCAAGTCCAGCATGGTAGTTCACTCCTGTAATCCCAGAACTAAGGAGGATCAAGAAGTGAAGACCAGCCAGATGCTGGTGGCTCACACCTGTAATCCTAGGACTCAAGAGGCTGAGATCTGAGGATCTCAGTTTAAAGCCAGCCTAGGAAAGAAAGTCTGTGAGACTCTCCTTTCCCATTAATCACTGAAAAATCCAGAAGTGGCGCTCTGGATCAGGCAGTAGAGTGCTAGTCTTGAGCAAAAGGAGCCCAGGGACAGTGATCAGGCCCAGAATTCAAGCACCATGACCAGCAAAAAAAAAAAGAAGAAAAAAAAAAGTGAAGGGCTTGGAATGTGTCTTAGTGGTAGAGTGCTTGCCTAGCACACATGAAGCCCTGAGTTTGATTCGTCAGTACCACCTAGGCAAAGCCGAAAGTGGCGCTGTGGCTCAAGTGGTAGAGTGTTACTCTTGAGCAAAAAGAAGCTCAGAGACTGTGCCCAGGCCCTGAGTTCAAGCCCCAGGACTGGCAAAAAAAGAATCTTTTTACAAAGATTCACATTTTCAAATATCCAGAAAAAAGGGAGGGTATGGCTATTGAGTGGCTG